GTCAGTGGACACGTGGGGTGTTTCCATATCTTGGCTGTTAAACTAAATGCTGCAATGAACATAAGTGAGCATGTACCATTTAAAAAATACTTATTCAGTGGGTTCTTTATTTTACTTATATATTTTCTCAGAAACTATAAAATAATGGCATCTCTAGCACCAGAGAAAGTAATCACTGCATCTCAACAAACTTATCTTTTTAAGTCAGTGAAGAAAGCTCTTTTCAAGTTATCTTTTTTCCTGCTCATTTTTTGTTAATTCAGAAATATGAGAAGTCTCACATGTGCATATATTTACTTTATCAGAATTATGTTGCTTTAAATTTAGTGAAAGGTCGGTCCTGATAGCATTTTCAAAATTTAATATTTTTTAATGAATCACTGTGAGATAGACCATAGAACTAAAGCTGTTTATGACTGAATTTCAGTCATACAGTATTCCAACACCCATCCCTCCACCAGTGTACATTTCCCAGCACCAGCGTCCCCAGGTCCCCTCCCATCACCCCCACCCCCTGCCTGCTTCTCTGTTTCTCTCTCTTTTAATATTTTGCTTTGGGTTTGGGGGCCACACTCCAGGAGGTACTTGGGGGTTATTACTGGTTTTGTTCTCAGGAATGACCCCTGGTGGTACTCCAGAGGCCATGTGTGGAATCAGCCGCAGGCAAGGAAAGAGCCTTAACCCCTGTACTGTCTCTCTGGTCCTCAAATGAATGTTTTTGTTTTCTTGGGGTAGATGCCAAGAAGTGGTATTCACTGAAAGTATGGAAGCTCTATTCTAGTTAAATTTTTAAATTGTAGTTTAGGCAATAAAGTTACACAGTGTTAAGGTTTATGATATTATGATACACAAAGTTACTATACCCCACCACTGTCCTTACCTCACTTCTGGTATTGATCTTTTACCCTCCCCATGCCATCCCCCTACTGGTAAGTTTTGTAATACAACGCCAAGGGTTTGTTATTAATACATAATGTCTATTGTCTTGTTTATATTCCACAGAGGAGTGAGGTCATCTGGTATTTGTTCTCTCTCTGACTTATTTTGCTGAACATGATACCCTCCAGTTACATCCACATTGTAGTGAATTGAATGACTTCATCTTTCCTTACTGTTGTGTAATATTCCACCGTGTTTGTATCACACTTCTTTATCCATTCTTTTGTTGTTAGACATCTGGCTTGTTTTCATATTCTTGCTATTGTACTAAGCACTGCAGCGAACATAAGTGTGTGTGTATCTTTTCACATTAACGTGTATGTGTTTGGGAGGCTGATGCCAGGAAGTGGATTTTCAAGGTCATAAAGGGAACTTCCACAAGCACTAAGCCATGTGACATTTCTAACAGCAGTGAATGAGAGCTTATTTTTCATCACATACCTGCCAACACTGATGGTTTCCGGTCTTTTTGACATATGCTATTCTCACTAGTGTGAGATGATATATAATTATCCTTTTGAGTTGCATTTCCCTGATAGTGTTAATGAGTAGTTTTTCATACACCTACTGGTGAATCATAAATCCTTTTGGGAAAGTGTCTATCTTATTTCCCTCACTTTTTGATGTCATCATTTTTTTTTTGTTGGAGATTTATGAGTGTTTTATGTACTTTGGATATTAGCCCTTTATTTTATGGTATGGTGTACAAAATACTCTCTCCCATTCAATAGGGTGTTTTTTAAAAAATGTTTTTGGCCTAAGTTTTTTTGCCATGTAAACCCCCTTTAAAAAAAAACTTGATGTACTACTATTTATTTCTTATTATGGTCTTTGCCAATGAAATCAAATCATTGAAGACATTTCTGAGGTCCATATCCTGGAAAGTTATACTTTGGATGTATTTTATGAATTCAAGTCTAATCTTTTTAAAAAATATTTTAAAATTTTGTGGTCTAATTTTGAGATCGTTAATCCTCCTTGAATTAATGTTTGCATTTGGATCCAGTTTCTCTTTTTAGCATGTAGCTATTCAGTTTTCCCAGCACCATCCAATCAGAAGATTTCCTTGCTGTACTTTATGTAACCAGCTCCTTTGTCATAGATTAATTTTGTCCAGATATCTGAGGACTTATCTCTGGGCTCTTGATTCTCTTCCATTAATCTGTGAGTTCATCTTTATTCCAATACCCCACGCTTTTGATTACTGTAATATATACACATATATATCCTATAAGCTATATACTTACATACTTATATATATAAGTACAATGAAAAAATCAGGAAATGCAATTTTTTTTTCTTAGAATGACTTTAGCTATTTGGAGACTTTTATGGTTTTGTACACATTTCAGTGATTTGTTCTAGGGCTTTGAAACTTTTGTTTTGGGACCACACCCAGTAGTGCTCAGGCCTGGCAGTGCTTAGGGGACCATCTACGGTGCTAGGGATTGAACCTGGGTTGGTTGTGTCCAAGGCAAGTACTTTACCCGCCATAATCTCTCTAGCCCCTCATGCATTGATTGTGTAGCCTTTACTTTGATGTATTGGTTTATTATTTCTGAGGGTTTTTTTTTTTGGTGGAGCCTTTGGGGTCTTTCAGGCATAAAATTTTATCATCTGCAAATAGTTATAATTTAACTTCTTTTCCAATATGAACCCCTTTGGATTTTTTTTTTAATTGCTCTAGTGAGGGTTTCTGAGATTATACTGAATAATAGTGTAGAAAGTGGACATCTTTGCCTTGTGTTGATCTCAGAGGGAAGCTTTTCAGATTTTTTCTCTTGGCGGTGAATCAGACATTCCTTTGTCTCTTGTCTCTGGTTCTTCCCACTACAGGCTCTGCTGTGAGCTGGTGACTTGCTATCATTCTGTGTGGCAACACCAGAAATGTGCTAGTGTTGATGTATAATAAACAAGTCTTCATCTTGTCCTCGATTCTTGACATTGAGTTTCTAAGACCCTTAGAATTTCCCAGTGATAGGAGTGCCTTTCACATTCTCAGAATGAACCCCTTTGTTTAAACTCCTGTGTTTACTGGCCTGCAGTGACTCAGGGTGGGGCCTAGATACCAATTCTGGATGGGGATGGGTGACATGGGGTCAGGGGTGGGGGACTGGTCTACAGAAAGACCAAACATGTGAACAGAAGTCAAAGGGGTGAATGGAGAATGGGTCATTGAAACAGCTGAAGGACAAGGTTCATAACGCTTCCGGGCTGGCAGCCACATTGAGGTGCTGGGAGGGCGGCACCCCCAAGGAGGTGAGGAAGTCTGTGCCAATCCCTGCTTCCCGGCCTGTGATCCTTGTCTGCTCAGCCCTTCAATCCAGGCAGGCATTCTTTGAGCTCTGCAACTTGATCTCTAGTGCTATAACCCTTGAATTACCTCTCTGGCCCACTTCTCCATCAACACTGTTTTCCTCTATAATCCACAGTTCTGGGTGCTATTGCAAAAGGAAATTCCTGATTGTCAGATAGAGATCTTAAAGAGATGCTTTGTGGGATGATGGAATTATTTTATGATTCTTTAATAAACAATTCTAACAAAGTATCTAGAAGTGCCAATTTCCACTGGGAAGCAAATCTGCCAGTCCTGACAACCAAGACTCTGGCTCTGGAGACTATGGGGCATACAGTTTTGGAGGCTAGAACAAAAGACTTGGGTTTCTTGGATGTCGTGCATCCTGCAAGAGTCAACGGCTCTGCCACAGGTGCCTCCTGTGACGAAGGGCAGTTAGGGCTCTCTCTTGCTCAGAAAACAGCGACTTTCTTTCCTGTAATAGCTAGGGCCTGAGGAATGAAGGGCTTCTAGACAGTCTCATGTTCAAGCCCCATTCCAGCTGTTTATCTGAGTGAGTGTCAGGGACCCAGGTCATGGGATCTCACATGGGAGAGAGAGGCCTGGGCCAAGCATGGCTAGAGGGCCCTTCTTTACATGAGTCTGTCTGACTCAGGAGGCATCCCCAAACTTCTCTGGCCTACTGCCCTTGACAGAAAAATCACTGTGCCTCCCCTCTGGAACTTTGTCTTCCTTCCTTCCTTCCTTCCTTCCTTCCTTCCTTCCTTCCTTCCTTCCTTCCTTTTTCTTCCTTTCCCTCCCTCCCTCCCTCCCTTCCTTCCCCTCCCCTTCCTTCCTTCCTTCCTTCCTTCCTTCCTTCCTTCCTTCCTTCCTTCCTTCCTTCCTTCCTTTTTCTTCCTTTCCCTCCCTCCCTCCCTCCCTCCCTCCCTCCCTTCCTTCCTTCCTTCCCCTCCCCTTCCTTCCTTCCTTCCTTCCTTCCTTCCTTCCTTCCTTCCTTCCTTTCTTCTGTCACACCCAGCGATGCTCAGGGGTCATTCTTGGATCTGCACTCAGGAATTACTCCTGGTGGTGCCAGGTCGGCTGCATGCAAGGCAAATGCCCTATCTGCTGTACTATCACTCCATTCCCCAGGAACTCTTCCTTCTTTAAAGTAAACAAAGAAAAAGCTCCTGCATTTGTACCCAGCAGTACCCCAAAACTGCCCACTCTGGAAACTGCCAGAGGAAACATGAGACTCAGGGAGGCCTGGCCAGGCCCCTTTGGGGGGGCACAGAGGGGACAGAGTGGGTGTCTTCACTGAAAGACTCACGTCCTTATCTAGGAGTCCACAGTAGAATTACTGACTCTCCATTTTTGTGTTAAATCACTGCCTGAAGCAGAAAAATGTTTTACCCAACTGGAATTCAGTTTCTCCTAAAATGCCACAAAAAGCCACTGACATGGGTGTTAAAATTGTGACCCCCCCCCACCCTGGTATGTCAACGCCTTACCCCAACCTTCACAGCTCACACTGGAGGCTCAGGTGGGAATGGCAGCCTTGGGCCATCACTGAAATTCTTCAGCAGCTTGTCCAGAACCAGGATGTTTGCCAGCATGTGCCAAGGACGTGGTCACTTCTGCAGTCAGGGGCAATGACAGGATCAGAACCTGGGCATGTGACATGCCACTTCCTGTTGTTGCCGTTGGATCTTTACACACCTTGAATGCAGCCTCCCGAGTGCCAGGCACTGCGGAACGAACTTCACATTGCTCAAGGGACGCGTTTTCTTAAGAAATTGGTTTAATTCAAGGTGGTTAGTGAATGGAAGGCATGTGATACCTTCATGAAGATTAAAATAATCCAGTTATAAAAGAAGCAGTGTGTACAGTCTCAAAGAGCTGAAAGTACAACAGGCTCTGTATCTTACACAGTACAAAAAAATTATTTCATATACAAAGAAAAAAATACAAATAATGTGCAAAAACCATTTTCACAGGTGTCAATTTATAAAACGAAAGTGATAGAAAAATCCTTCATTCTTACAATTGCCCAATGTCATATATATTAACACAGTTCTACTTCTAGTGTGTACGTAATTTTAATTTTGACAAATCTACAGTGTTTTTTTTTTTAAAAAAGGGAATCATTATTGAAATCTGATGAATCAATTTAGTTAATTTTATATTAAATTATAAGCAGGTTATCTGAAAAAAAAGGATATAGAAATCATATGTACACATTTTTGAAATATTAGTTCGGTATTTAACATATTAACATTTCAAACAGACACAATGATTAGGCCCCCTGGGGCCCCAGCTGGCTACAGTGGCTGTCTCGGATGTGGCTCATGGGGAATGGGCCAAGCTCTCTGGGTCAGGAGCTAAACACACATCAGGTTATCAGCAGGTGAAGAGGCGCCAGAAGCGGCTTTCACTGCCCGTGTGCCAACGAGGAATCTGGGTACCCGGCCACAGCACAAGGGCCATCGGGGCCCACACAGCCCTTGTCATAGGTATGTGTTAACAGCTGGCTTCTGTCTTTCTGACAGCTTCACTTCATTAGGAGGTCAGTGCAAATGATTGCTCAGGAAGGTTAGTGCATTCAGCTTTTTGCATGCTACTTTGTGCAGGAAGCTATTGGAAGCAGAATACATAGGAGCACAGGCCCCGGATCCTCAGGGCACCTCTGGCCGAGAGCATTTGGGGTTTGGGAAGCAATTTTTCCTTGCATTGGCCTGGTCATTGTTGCATTATTTCCCTGGAAAGGAAGCTCCCATCAGGATAATCCTCTGAGCTCCTTCCTTGCCCACCGCTTAGCACCGATGTTCTTGCTGTGAACCCCAATGGCAAGCAGGGACTGTGGAAGCACCTTTCGAAGCACCCGAGAGCAGAGCCTCTCTGAGGTGAGGCAGTGAGAGGAGTTTTGATGGGAACCTATTCTAGGAGAATAGAAGACCACCTTGGAGGGCTTTTATTTTTGCTTGTCAGAAAACTCGTCAAAGAACTGAGAGCTTGGAGAAAAAAGGACTGAGCTTTCATGAAGAAGGGCCTCAGAGGATGGTCATGGTCGCCAGGTGCTGAGGGGATGGAAGACAGTTGGCTCAGGAAGCACTCATCTGATCCCTAACCACAAAGTCCCTGTTAGAATCATCTAGTGCAAGATACGTTAGTGCCTGGAGCTCGGGACCAGAGCTGACACATCCACTCAGGCAAAGCAGGCACAGCAGCTGCAGAATGAGGGGACTGGCTAAGACTGGGCAGGAGGACCCTCAGGCCCTGGAATGACTCAGCAACTCAAGGATTCAGGAGTGTTTTTGTCTTATTGGCTTGGGTGGACCACAGACATCAAGCATCAGAGATACAGCTCTGGATTCTGTCCATCCACTGTTGGGCACTTTGTCCATCCTGGGCACAGAAGTTATATACACGCTTGCTGGTCTTGAGCTAAGGAAACAAAGAGAACCAGAGATGAAAGACAGATCTATTTCATGGCTTTGAACAATTGAGCAAAGTGCTCCCTGGCTCTCCCTTTCTCCCCAGAACTGCTGCATATCCCCTCCCCTGTGTTCCCTTGGACCACGCCTGTAGGATCACTGAGCTTTCTCGTCCCCAGAGTAATAGGTTATGTTCCTCAGAGGATGCTGGGAGAGGCAGACACACCAGGAGCCTTACTTGACACCTCCTTGGACCTTCTGTGACTGAGTAGGAGGGTCAGGAATGGCTGGAGTCTCTGGCCTCTCCCACACATGGCACTGGTGCAGAAGGGGTGACGCTCCCCGGGTTTCCCACAGAATCCGGAGATTCAGCCACCTGGGATGAGGTCGGGGACTGTGTCTCCTTTCCATACTCTTTGCTAATCTTCAGCTGGGGCCACACTTGGAGCTGAGGTCAGGGAAATAGTCTTGTAGCCCAACCAGAGCCCCAAATGTGATCTCTGCTCTTTATAAAGTCCTGTGGGCTGCAGGCCCTATGAAGTCCCCGAACATGCAGCCCTTAAGTGTCTCCAAAGACCTGCAACCCCCACCCCCACATGGCTGCTGAAGATTTTGGGGCAAAATGCCATAAATTTGTGACCAAGGACACTTTTTATGAGTGATCAAGCATGGCTACCACTGAATACAAAGGGAAACAGCTTGTGTTCCTGGTAGCAGGTGAGTGAAATATCGAACAGTACTTGTGAGAAGTGCATATGTGGCTGAGCAGCTTTTGAAGGAATCCTGTGTGTGGAGTAATGAGTAGCCTTTCTGAGACACGAGGATGGCTGCAAGCAGTCGGCTCTGGGCTTCGGGTGCTGTGTCCAAGTGATGTTGGTGTAGTAATTCCCACGGGGGGCCTGGAGGGCCTCTCTGTGCCCCCTCTGCCCCTGCCTCCCCCCCCACCCCCCCGCAATAGCTTTTTCAGGAGGGAGATCAGTGTGGAGACAGAGCCAGGAAAATCCAAGTAAGATCAACTTACATCGAAGAAGGCCTTGTCACTTGTGTGCTTGGGGGCGCCCATGCTGGGGCCAGCAGGGATGACCATTTCTACTTCAGCCAGGTCAATGTGGCCTTTACAGCTGGTGTCTTCACCGGAGTCATAGTATCGCAGCTGGACCACAGGGAGACAAGATGCATGAGAGGCAGCGGACAGAGCTTGGCTTTATAAACAATTTGAAATCTCTCCTCTCTCTCTCCCTTTCCGCCCCCCCCCACCCCCCGCAATACCGGCAGTGCTCAGGGCTCAATCCTGGTGGGCTCAAAGGCCCATATGAAATGCTGGGGATTGAACCCGGTTGGTTGCATGCAAGGCAAGTGCCCACCCACTGTACTATTGCTGCGACTCCATAAATTATTTCTTTCTAAACTGTTCGGAAGAAGAGACAGAAATTAAAAATAATGGTTGCCTCCATAAAGAATTAGGTGGCTGGAGGAAGGATATAAAGGATACTTTATAAATTTTGAGTAGCTAAATGTTTCATACATTAAAATAATATTAAATGTCAATGATTAAACAACTAGGTATTAATAAATGTATATTTTATATATTAGAAATTGTGCCACAGAAGACTTCCTTTAGAACTGTCTTTGCCAGCTAAATACAGGGCAAGATGTCTATTTTAGTGCCAAGTTTGGTTACTGGGCAGTCCAGTCTTCACAGCTTGTACAAAAGGGCTTGGGCTAAGGCTCGGCAGGAGAGTTCATGTCTTGCATGTGTGAGGCCCTGTGCTCAATTCCTGGCATCACTGGGTGTGGCTCTACAACTAATAAAAACAAATGAGAAGATTTAAAACCATATCTATTTTAAGTTTTATTTTCTTAGTGTTGGGGCCACATTTGGTGGTGCTTGAGGGTTACTCCCAGCTTGGTTCTCAGGGACCACATCAGTGCTGGGGATGGAACCCGGGCCTCCTGCATGCAAAGCAGCCCACAGAGCCAATGCTTCCACTGCATAAGGAAGATTTATATGAACTAGTAGGAACATATGTTCCCAGTGTAGGTTTTGTTATTTTGGCTTTTGGCATACCTGGTGGTGCTCAGGGGCTACTCCTGACTTGGAGGTTGTTCCAAATGGTGCTCAGAAGACCACATGGAACTACCAAAGCCTCATACATTCAATGCATGTGCTCAGCTTATTGGGATCTTTGTGTAACCTAGTACTTTCTGAGGGGTCAGGGTGTTTGAGCACGTTCAGTAGTACTGAGATCTGACTACTGATTGCGCTCAGGAAACTGTACGTGCAGCTGGGTACAGAACTGGGGCCGGCTATGTGCAAGGCATGCACCTTAAATCCTGTACTATCTCTCTAGCCCCTGTATCCAAGTATTTTAAAATAAGTTGTTAAGGACCGGAAAAAACTTGACAGGGACAGACTGGAGAAGTCCTGGGTATGGTTCCCAGCACTATATGGCCCCATAAGCACTATTAAGACATAGCCTCTCAGCAACCACTTGATTTTGGTTCCCCAAACAAAACAGTACTGTCTCGAAATATATATCTATGAAATGCTATAAAAATGCTACCAGTGATTTTTGAAAAGCCTAGAAAATAGCCCAAAGTTTTAGCTCTACAGCTATAAAAATACCAGTGACTTCTGAGAAACCTAGAAAATATCTCAACATTTCATTGGATGGTTACTATGGGACAAAACTATTCTGATAGTTTTTCATATAACTCATTTAACCCTCTGAGCAACTCAAACATATAATACAAATACCTTTATTCACTGACATATGAAAATGATTTAGAGAAATGGATACCAAATTGTTCACAGTAATTACTGGGGTCATAGGGAACTTTTCATCTTCACAAGCTATCTAAACTCATGTAACAAATATGTGTTACTTTTGAAATAAGAAAGAAAAGTGAAAATATTTCTAAAAACTAGAGACTGTTGGTGAGAAAGCCTTATTGGTCCATAGTTTGGATTTTACTCTCTAATAAGGCAGGAATGTGTCTCGTGTCTTTGTACTGTGGTTCTGGCCTTAGACTTTTTTCCTTCAGGCATGGTATAAGTAGGGCAAAATAGAAAAACTATATTCCTTTTGTGTTAAAGAAATCCCAAAGACTGGTAAGAATGCAAATATAATTTCATGTAAATTACAGAAAAATTGTTGTCATTTTCCTATGTTATATTTAGTGGTTTAATGGTAGGCTCTATGGTTCCAGAGACATTGCTATTTTAAAGTACAGCCCCTAAAAAAAGGGCTTCTACTACATAGTTGAAAATAAATTCTCCATATTCTTCCACATGAATCTGTGTAAACCATGAAGCCCTTGGAAAGGTGGTCCCCAAGTTTGTCTTCTGGAAGGAGCCTTCTACTCGCAGCTCAAGAAGAGCAATGTATGGAGGAACATTCGCTCTTTCTCCAACAGACTCCTTTTTAGCACCGAGATGTGCCAGGTGTCCTGCTCTGCCTAAGGCAGGGTGAGGCTGTCAGAGCAGGCCCGGGGTCTCTGCCACCCAGGAGACAAGGCTGAGAGGAGCTGGGTGAAAGGAGGGGCCCCTCTCCTTTGAGAGACTGGGGCAAAGATCACGATACTATGGACTGTGGATACCTTCTGAGCAGGAGCTAAGAACCTAACAGTGGGCACTGACTCTGGCAGGGTCAGTGAGGGCTAGTCTGGTATGTGTCCACTGTGAATTCCACGTTTACGTAGACACTTCCCCTCTGCCTTTCCTGGGGCTCCTGCGTTGCTGCCATCTTTGCGGTCAAATGGTGACTTCAATAACCAGTAAATGAGGAGCATGAGAAGGTGATCAACATGCATGGAACAGAATAATGTTCTCAGTTTTGAACAGATGCTTTCAGCTACAAGGGTGAAGCTGTCTGCAGCTGGTCAGTGATCTCAGGGGTGTGGGTCCCCCATGCTGAGAAGTTTAGGGTCTCTCCAGGCCTGGGTTTTAAGCAAATGTCGGAGAGACCGGAGTGATAGTACACCTGGTAGGGCATTTGCTTGCACGTGCCTGACTGGGTTCCATTCCCAGAATCCCATATGGTCCCCTAGGCACTGCCAAGAGTGAGTCCTGAGCACTGCTGGGTTTGGTTTTCCCCTGTGTCCCCTATTCCCCCTCAGCCCCCCCAAAAAGAGCAGATAGTAGAAGATAGCTGAGCTTTAAAAAAAGCAGTTTAGGGGGCTAGAGAGACAGTAAATATAGCAGGTAGGGCATTTGCCATGCACACAGATCCAATCCCCAGTCCTTAAGCCCAAACCAAACCAAAGCAGGCCGAGTTTTCGTGCAAGTGACAGCCTGGGCTGTGTGTACCAGGAAAAACTACTTTGGAACTTCTCTCAGAAATGAGTACTCTGATGCAGGGGTACACAGGGGCCCCGGGGAGCTCCCAGAAGATCAGGGGAGGCCTGGCATGGCACTGTCTTTACGGGATGCAGCTGTCGGTTGAGTCACAAATAGCAGGGGACTGTGATTAGTCAGGAGAGAAGTGGTTTCTTCAGCTCTGGCAGTTTTACCTGATGTTTTGTTACATCCAAGACGAACCAACGGGGCTTCCAACCCTTCAGCAAAGCCCCTCTCTTGTAAAGTGTTCCCTCAAAGGACCTGGAAGAAATGAGGACAGGGAAATTAATCTGGCCTTCTTGTTTAAGAAGCACAGCTACAGGAGTGTGCTGCTGCCCGCTCCTTCTCCCGCTCTCCCCTCAGCCCCAGAGTACCCAAGGAAGGCCCCTGGATTCTCCTTGCAGCTGTTCTACCAGATGCTGAGGGGAACCCTGACTCTTTCTGATGGCGCCACTGCACTGGGGCAGTTTGGAGCTCTCAGGAGCCAACTTTCATGCCCTGCCGAGTTTGACGCAACCCACAGGAGAGCGAAGCCTAACGAGATGGGCTGTGAGAACCTGCAGTTTCGTGACTAAATGCCTTTTTGCCTGAGCTAGCAGGAGCTGGGTTTCTGGTGTCTGCCACCAAAAAGGTGCTGACTAGTAATAAACGTGCCCTCAAACTACCTGGCAGACATGAGCTAATAATGATCAGGACTCAACCACAAATAACGACTTTCCCGTGAGTGTTTTCAGTGGTATTCTCACTTTCCCTCTTCAAAGAATTGCCTGACATGTTAAAGTCAAAAATAATGAGAGCAAACCACGTCCTGTTCATGGGAGGTGCTGCACAGCCCTGGCCGGTTTTAGGCCCATGTCACAGTCTTGAGGTGGGCTCTGAAGTGCGGTTACCTGTTCTCCTCATTCTTAAACGTGTACTGGCTGTAGAGTGTGGCTGCCCGGCGGTCCACGCCGTTGGATGGGGAGACGCTGGCATTCTGCTCCTCCCCAGAGCTGCTTTCCGGAAGATGCAGCACAGACCTCTTCTGATAGGAAGGGAGGTTGGCAGATATGATTCCTGGAAGGCCCAAAGGCTGTCTTTGGGGCTAAAAGAAGATAGAAGAGGGGCTAAGAAAGCTACACAAAGACTTCAGCTGGTCTGACAACTTCATTTCTAAAAATTTATCTCAAGGGGAAAAAATTGGGCTCCAGGAAGAAAATATTTATAAAGATGCTTACCCTGGAGTTATTTATAACAATAGAAGCCCAGAAGCAACCTAAATGTTTGATTAAGGGATTTATTACAAAGAAGGCACCACATTCTGATGCCAGCCCCTGAACTGTCACTCGTAGGTCAGCAAGTCCAGGAGGATCCCGTCTTTCCAGCAGAGGCTTTCTTCTGAAACATTCCCCTTCCCAAGCCCGTTCCTGCATCTGACCTGCTCACCACTCCTTCCTGAGATGCTCTTCATACCACCACTGTCACAGCTTCCTGCTGGTGCCCAGGAAGCGAATTTGATAGGCAGCTATGTGATGTCCTGTGGGAGATGGCATACCACTCCATCTCTCCAGAAGCTAAACATGATGATGATGAGTGGAAGGACTGGCATAGCCCCTTGCACACATTGTGTGCCTGGTAAATGTTCTTTTGTGTTTTGGGGCAAAACGAGGCAGTGCTCAGGGCTTACTCATCTCTCCTAGTGCGCCTCTGGACCACATGCAGTGCCAGGGACTAAACCTGGGTCAGCTGTGTGCAAGGCAAGGGCTCTACCTGCTGCACTATTTCTCTGGCCCCGTGGACAAAGTTTCTAAACTTAAACAGAAAAGGGAATATAGGGAACATGAGGTAGACTATTGTGTCATTTTAATATTTTATTTTCTAATGACTTCTCTGGAGCAAACGTGGTCTCACATTCCCATCCTCCTCTGTGCAACAGGAGACCAAGTAAAACCACAGAGGCACTGAGATAGAAAAGAACCCAGTAATTTCCTTGGACATGGGCCCTGAAACGCAAGTATTATGTCACTGTGGTAAAGTAAAACGTTCAGGAATTACTTAGTCATTTGGAACTTTCTGCCCTGGTCCGCAGGGGAAGCCCCCTCGGTTCCACTCTTCCCTGTGGCCATTACCCATTTGGGTTACCTGTGATGGTGGGGCCCACCTGGCCGAACACCTTAGAAAGCGAAAGTGGATCCCAGGGGATTAGCCAACTCACATGGTCTGTCCTGGGCTCTTCCTTAAGGTCTGTAGTGACTCTTTCCCACAGCTGCTGCCACTTCTCAGGGCTTTGGTTCAATTTATGCTCCAATCGTTCAATTTCCTGCAAAAGTAATCGGAGTTTTTTCACAGATCAGATTTCACAGAAAGCAAGATGTGTCCCTGAGTCCCATCTCCTCTGTACTGTGCCCAGGGAAGCAGTGTGGCCAGAGGGATACTGAGAAAAGGGGTACTCCTGGGGCGGCTGGGGTCTCTGAGTTGGGAACGGCAGGCGGGAATGCTGGCTGGCACTGCCGGGAGGCACAGATGGTTTGTAAAGATCTGTGACCAGGCCTGCTGGTGCAGGACGACCGAAATGGTTAGAGATGAGATGTGTTTTCCCAAACACCTTCACCCTTGGCTAGCCCGTAGGAAACCTGATGGCCACAGCAAAAGGCCAACCACTGGGCTGGTGTCCAAACCCTAACTGCTGAGGCAGATGAGAAGCCTGCCTGCCTTTGACAGAGGGACCCCTCAACTCTAATGATTCAAACCAGACGAGGAAGGAATGACCTAAGGAATGGCAAAGGATTGGTGTCTCCTGAGTCAGGGGATCTGGAAGTCAGGGCAGCTGCCCCTGTGGCAGGGCTTCCCTGACACATGTTCCTCCCGCCTGTCAAGAATTGAATAGAGAAACTTCTTCAGGAACAGAGCGGCCTGTACTAGGGCGGCAACACTTCCCTCGGGATTGCTGCACTCATTGGAATGGCAACGGCCAGGATGGTTATGCTCCGGAGTATTTCTTGCAGAAGATCGCCCACAGTATTCCTATCAGGCCCTCAAATGCCCACACTCTGACCAGAGGAAATCAAGTGCCCAAAAAAACCAAAGCCCTGGCCTGACTGAGGTTGCTGGGGCAGCTGAAATATCTGTGAAGCTGCACTGTAGCTCCACGTGCTTGAGTGCTGCCCTGGAATGCCTTGACTGAGACTTCCCAGTGGGTTTCTTCCTACTCCCGGAGAGCTTGCTACCTGGGATGCCGCCCTGAGCCAGGAGTACTTTTTGACATTTCAGACTTAACCCCTGTAGTGCCCAAGGTATGTTTAAACACAGGTGACTTACGCTGAACAGGCTGGTGAGTGCATCTGGCTGCACGTGACTGATGTCGTCATAGCATGGCCACACAGTTCTCCTCTGGCTTCGGAGTCCTGTGCCTGCGGCCAGATCTGAGTCCTCGGGAGGGAAGTGCTTGGAGGTCAGCATCACCCAGTCATAGGAGGGCCCTGCAGACAGGGTCTCCTCGATGTAGTAATCCCACTTCTTGAGGTTGGACACATGTACATTAGGTTTCAGGGCCTATTCAAAGAAAATTCTGAAATATAGCTTCATCTTGACCTTGAAGTACCTCAAAGGCCAGCCCCTAGCATTTACAGGGTCTGGATAAGGGTATGGATGGAGGTTCATATACTACCAGTATTTGAATTTATAATAAACAGGTTCAATCCCTGACATCCCATATGGTCCCCAAACCCCACCAGGAGTGATCCCTGAGTATAGAATGGGAGTAAGCCCTGAGCACAGTAGGATGTGACCCTAAAGCTGAATGAAAAGAGCAAAAGAAAGTATGACAAACTATTCAGTAAAAATAAGTCATACCTTCCTGTTTGCCAAATAAAACTTCTTCGTGAGACCTGGAAGCAAAGACTGAAGTGAAAAAATCTTAGATTCCTTGGAATTCTATACCAGAGAGTGGTATCACTGGGGAAGTGGATTGTGGATCCTAGTACTGCTGCTCCCCCGGCCCTGGCTTTGTCATAGACTGAGATCCTTCATGAATGTGTGCACATACCCCAGCCCATACAGACGTGTGCTATTCCTTAGCAAACAACTCTTACTACTTAGTAGTCCCTTGGGCACTGGCTTGAAAGCTATTCTTTTTCTTTTGGGGTGGGGAGGGGGCGCACACCCAATAGTGCTCAGGGATAACTCCTGGCTCTGTGCTCATGGATTACTCTGAGTGGAGCTTGGGGACCATACGTGGTGTTAGGATTTGAACCCTGGTGGGGCACAAGCAAGGCAAATGCTCTACCTGTTGTGATATCTCTGTCCCCCTTCTTAAAAAAATAATTGAGAAACATTTCCCATTTTATTGAATTCCATGATTTATAATCTGGTTAATATTAGTTTTATGCATACACCATCCCATCTCCACACCTATCACCAGAACACCCACTTCCCTCCAAGGACCCTTTCCATTTGCACCCCCCCCCACACCTGCTGAGCTCAGTTCTAGAGTCTCTTCTGTTTGCCTTTAATAATTTTTTTGTTTTTGTAGGGCCACACCTAGTGGGGAGGACTCCTGGCAGGGCTCAGGGACCATACAGGATGCCAGGAATTGAACCTGGACTCACTTTTAGTATTTGAAAACATTTAAGTATTCCCATCAGGTCCTCAAATTTCCACTTCTGACCAGGGGAAATCAAGTGCCCACAAAAGTCAAAACCCAGGCCAGACTGAGGTTGCTGGGGCAGCTGAAACATCTGTGAAGCTGCACATAGCTCCACGTGCTTGACTGCTGCCTTGGAATGCCTTGACTGAGACTTCCCAGTGAGTTTCTTCCCACTCCTGGAGAGCTTGCTACCTGGGATGCTGCCCTGAGTCAGGAGTATGTTCTAATGTTTGTGTGTAGTAGGTTCTGACATTTCTGACTTAAAGGTAAGGTAAAGGTAAAGGCCCTCCCGTTGATCGTTGATTTGCTCGAGCGGGCCCAGTAACATCTCCATTGGAGACTTTTGTTGTTACTGTGTCTGGCATATCAAATACTCTCGGTAGCTTGCCGGGCTCTCCGAGAGGGGCGGAGGAATTGAACTCGGGTCGGCCATGTTGGCCGCGTGTAAGGCGAATGCCCTACCCGCTGTGCTATCACTCCAGCGATAGCACAGCGGATAGGGCGTCTGCCTTGCACGCAGCCAACATGGCCGACCCGAGTTCAATTCCTCCGCCCCTCTCGGAGAGCCCGGCAAGCTACTGAGAGTATTTGATATGCCAGACACAGTAACAACAAAGTCTCCAATGGAGACGTTACTGGGCCCGCTCGAGCAAGTCGATTTCTGACTTAACGTTTCTTAATTTTAACTTAAGTTTAAACTTTTAAACTTAAAGTTGCAAAGCAAATGCCCTACCTGCTGTACTATTGCTCCAGGCCCAACTTTGACCATTTGTCACTCCCTTGTTTTACTATATTTCTTTTTTTTTTAATGAGCACAACCATAATTTTTTTCTATTCAGAAAATTCTTTTAAATTAATATTTAGTTCCCAGGTGTTTGAATTGCATCCCCTATTCTGTGATTAATTTCCATTTTCAAAGCACTGTGCTCTGAGAATATAGCTGATATGATTTCTATCTATTTCTATTTTATGAAAATATGTTTATGACCAGGCTGGAGTGATAGCACAGCAGGTTAGCCTTGCAAACCTGAATTTGTTTCCTCTGCCCCTCTCGGAGAGCCTGGCAAGCTACCGAGAGTATCTCGCCTGCACGGCAAAGCCTGGCAAGCTACTCGTGACGTATTTGATATGCCAAACACAGTAACAATTGTCACAATGGAGCCGTTACTGGGCCCACTCGAGCAAATTGATGAACAACAGGAGGACAGTGACAGTGATGTTTATGACCAAGCATGTAATCTATCTTGGAGAATGTCCTGTGTGCAATGAATAATGTGCACTCAGCTTTTAGGGGATGGAAGGCCCTATGCATGTCTGTTAGTTCCATTTCTTCCCTTTAAAGGCCAGTGTTTTCTTGTTGAAGTTTTGCCTAACTGATCTATCTAGAAGTGACAGAAGACCATTGAAGTGTCCTACTACTACTGTGTTGCTGTGAATATGTTCAAGTTTATTAGTTATTAAAATATTTTGATTGTACATCATTATTAGGTGCATATATGTTTAGGAGTATGAGTTTTTTTTTCTTTTCTTTTTGGGCCACACCAGGTGGTACTCAGGGATTACTCCTGACTCTGTCTCTGTGCTCAGGATACCCAGGAGTAGATATATTTTGGAGCCATATTTTGGAGCCAATCAACTCCCAGATATTAGGAGCACAGCATTAACGGTATTTATGTGTTTAAGCAAAGGATATTGCTCTATATTAAACTGTGAAAAGACTATAGGGGAAACAGAAAGGCAAGTAATTCACTATAAATACAAAATCCAGCGTTACCAGAAGCTTTTGGCTTGTAAGTAACAAGGACTGACTTGGGGAATTGTGAAAATGTGAGGAAAACACAAAGGAAAGGTTAAAGATAAATTAAGGGGATTAGGGGTGCTCACAAGAGTACTTTAAGCTTCTTTGGGGGGAGGAAAAGGGGCAATACACCAATGAAGCCTAAAATACTTAGGGTTAATATCCAACAGGAAGGAGTTCACTGATTTTTTTTTCCTCCCTCAGCTATTTTTACTCTGCTGCTGAGAGTTTTTGTTTTCATCTACCATGTTCTTCAGCTCTGTTACTATTGATTTCTGTTTTCTCATTTTTGCTCTCATGCTTTCTTGATTTATTGATTACCTGGTCTATTGCTTACTTGAGTTCAGTAAACATCCTCATTATGGTGTCTCTAAAGTTATTATCTGAGAAGTTATAAAGCTTGTTGGTACTGCAGAATCTTCTGTACCTTTATCTTTACTCAGTGAGTTTGGTGGACTTCTTTGTGCTTTTCTCACTGTGTGAAAGTCTTGAAGAAGTGGCCTAGGGCAGCATTTCTTAATTGGGGGCCATATGGCCCCATGAGCCTCCAAGACACTCCAAGGGGGTCAACGCATACAAATAGAGGGCCAAATGGTAAGACATAAGGGTCACAGGAAGAAAACAAGTTCGGTCAGTTAGAAAAAAGGTGGAGAGACACTGCTCTAGAGTAACTTGAATTATGGCAAGGAATTCTGAGGTATCAGAGCTCTGTTAGATGAAGGAGTGGAATCTAAGTGGTATCCTTGGCTACTCGTACCCCTCCACTCAGGAAGAGGGTCTGCTCAAGAAGGGAAAGAGTGGAGTTACAATGCCTGGGGTTGAGGGCAAGGGTCTTCTGGTCTTTGTAGGGTGATACCAGTGGCTCATAGTTGAATGTCGTTTAATTAACACAGATTACAGCACTGGTGTCAATGTACTGAATTAGTGTGTTCTATTCAGGGCTGAACTTCATTCAGATGTTCATAGTATAGCATGGTTGCCCCCGAGGGGTCATACATCTGGGGCTGGACTCCCAACTTCCTTGTTTCACACAAAGCTTCTTTATGTCTCTGGAAAAAATGAACTTAGGGAAACAGTTTCTTGAGAATTCTATATTTTTGAGGTGGGGGCAGGGTGGAGGCTACACAGCAGGACCCAGGGGACCATGTGGTGTTAGGGTTTGAACCTGAATCTCTTACATGCAAAGCACATGCTCTAGCCTATTAAGCTATCTCTGTAGCCCCTCAAGTACTCTAGGTTTTTTAAAAATAAGATTAGATGATCTATTAAGGTTTCTTGATCTTTTCCCTGGAAAAATGACCTTAGTTTGATTTTTCTTTTTCTTTTTTTTTTGGTGAAGTTTTCCCTTCTAGTTTTCTAATTTTTGTGTCAAGATTTTGGTGAACGGTCTCTATTCAGTCATAATCCAAATCTGGAGTGTACTAAATTTTTAAGTAGCTTTTGTATGATGCCTATTAAATGGTCATATGTATACTAAAAGATAAATTTTAACACAAAATATTTGGAAAATTAAAAATAAATTCTTCTTACTGTACCTCTATTTCCACTGGTGAGTACATATAATTAAAGAAAATGGGACTCCTCTTGTGCATTCTATCAATACATTCCCAAATACAAATTCCCTTTTTGGCTGGCTTGTCTCCTTTATCATCAAATAACGTTCCTGTCAATCCAAAATAATTAAAACAGAAGTTAAATAAAATTGAAGCTTTTCCTTAAAGTATAAAATAGCAGATAAAACTGGAATATGACTTATGACTCTAGAAAAAGCAATTATATGTAGAAAGTGTAGACAATAATTGCAAAGCTAAATATAGGAATAGCTACATGGAAACACATCAAAATGAAAAGAAAACATCTCACAAGATTTCAAAGGCATTTAGCAATACATCATGTCTTTCTTCCAAACCTGCATCCTGAGAGTTTTCTCTTGATTCACACATTTTTCACGTTCCAAGAGGAAACAGAAGGATTTAATTTGGTGAGACTCAGTCAAATACAGAATTTTTATATTTCTTTTTAAAGTTGGCTGTTTATTATGAAGTCAGTTTCAGTGTTTTCTTGTTTGGTAGTTTACGTACAGCACAAATCACAGTCACAGAGGCTGCTGATGACAGAAGAGTGTGGTCTATATCCTTGGGTAACTTCAAAGCACAATTTAGGGGAGGCAGTTTGGGAATTCCTGACCCTATCAATCTTTCAGAATATCTATTGCTCTCAAGAGTCTACTTGTCTGAAATAGGGGGGAAAGTATTAGGTTAAAGCAAGAGGCATTTCTTGAAAAGGCCAGGAATGGTGCCTCCTTTAAGTAGTATGATCTAGTAGTATTATCTTGCTTAAATGAAGTAACTCAATCAAAAGTAAAAAAAAAATTCTTTTCCTGAGGGGTTGGGGAATTCCCAAGCAGTGCTTAGGGAACCTGGGGGCAACTCCAGGTCATACTCTGTCAAACAGGTCAGACAGTTCAAAGCAAGTCCTGGTGAGGGGGTAGTACTCAGGCCTAGCAGTGCTGGGGACCACTAAGGTCACCCTGGCAGTGCTCTGGTGCGTCCAGGGCTATACTCAGTGGTATTCTAGGGGGGATGTTATGCTGGGATTGCATCTGGGTCTTCTGTGTACAAGATGTGCCCCTGACCTCTAAATCATCTCCTGGGCCCAGTAAACAAGTATTTAACCAGTTTATCAGAAAAGAATGCCTCAAGCCCAAGGGTACATAAAATCTTACAATATATGGAGCCTCTAATCATAATTTTTTCTTTCTCTACCTTCTTCAGAGTAAAGTAATTCTCAACTTTGATCATACCAAGGGCTTAAAATCAAGTATTTAGGCCGGAATGAAAGTACAGTGGGTAGGGTATTTGCCTTGCATGCAGCCGATCTGGGTTTGATCCCTGCACCCCATATGATTCTCTAAGGATCCCCAGGAGTGATCCCTGAGCATGGCCAGGTGTGACCTCACTAACAAAACAAATCAATAACTTAAAAAATCTTGATGTGGGGCTGGAGAGATAATATATTGAATAGGATGTTTGCCTTGTATATAGCTGACCAGGGTTCAATACCCAGCACCCCAGGTGGCCCCCTGAGCCTGCCAGGAGTACTTCCTAAATACAGAGCCAGGAGTTACCTCTGAGCATATTTTGGTGTGCCTCAAAAAAAAAAGTTATGTCTAGGTTTTACCTCAGACCAATCAAATCGGAATCTCTGAGGCTAGGCCCACTTAAAAGCATTCACTCTAAAGCTCCCCAAATCACTCCCATGTAGCTGCCTTACTTAGTGCCTTCTACACAAAAATGCTTAAGACATTAAGTTTCTGATAATGATGTGTGGAATGACAGTCCTGTGCATCAACAAAGGTTTGACAGCATCAACAGCACAGAAAATGGTTCCCCTGGAGCTTGTGCCTTTATCAAAAGTATTATATACTAGATAATTTGATACACCATAAAAGTGTATCTGATTTCAAAATTTAACCTGACACTATATAAATAATTTACTGCCACACAGCCATCCTCTTTATGAATATTCAGGTACACATGATGTACTAAATTTTTGCTTATCTTGAAGGGAGGACAGTGACAGTGAAGGGGGGCATAGCAGTGGTCTGGGGCTACTCCTAATCTGGTGGTGATCAGGAGCCAAATGGTGTTTGGGACTGAATTCCACACACATGAATACAAACCATGTGCCCTAGTTGTTTTGAGTGGTTTCCTTGGGCCCTGAGCTTTGTATTATTTTTTCGAGGGGCAGGGTTTGGGTCAAACCTAGCTGCACTCAGAGAACCACAACATTTGGTGCTGGGGATAAAAAGGGTGGGCCACATACAAGGCAAGTGACTTAACCCTTTTGGTATCTTCACAGCCCTCAATTTTTATATCTAAATAAAAGTTATGTATTTTTCCTCCCTTCTTTTCTTCCTTAATGACAAAAGAATGCAGACCCATCGGAGAATGTTTCCAGAAGGGTAGAATGACTTTCAGAATCTCTTTAACTGTTATTAAAATTTACAGGACTCGAGGGACTGGAGAGATTCAAGTGCTTGCCTTTCCTGCTGCTGATTTCAGTTCAGTTTTGGGCTGCTCCTAACTCTGTGCTCAGGCGTGACCCCTGACAGTGCTGAGGGGATCATATGTGATGCAAATGATTCAAACCAGCGCAACCCGCATAGCTGCATACAAAATAAATGTCTTACCTTCTGTACTATCTTCCTGGTTCTTCAACCCCAGTTTGATCGCCCACACCCTGCCAGGGGGTAGCGCTGGTTGGGGAATCCCCAGCACTAAGGCTGAGGGATACTACATCTTCAGGCCCTTGGCACTGAATGGCCAGGAATCCCCGGGAGGTGCCTCCCTCCCAATATAATGATCGTAATAGATATAATTCAGTGCTTACTTTCAACAAGCAGCTGAACTAAGACATTTACAAAGCTTCCTATTCCTAATGTGATTATCATGACTGAAGGGGTTGGGAGCTATTAATGTCCTCATTGCCCCCCACTTTCTTTTTTTGCCCCCCACTTTCTTTGCTGTAGCTACCGTGACAGAGGGCGACACACTTGGGTGCAGTACTTGCCAGGATGCACACATCTGAATGTGGTGCACATTCATTTAACTTGTGAGGTGGACTTGCCAGGGACTGAAGGCTTGACGCCAGCAAAGCAGGCACACTGTCACTGAGTCACATTCATGGGTCTCTCATTGTCCAAATATATATATATTTTGTTTTGGGGGCCACACCCAGCAGTGCCTGGGGATTATTTCTGGCTCTGCACTCAAAAATCACCTGGTAGTGCTTGGGAGGACCGTATGGGTGCCAGGGATCGAACCTGAGCCGGGTACTTGAATGTACGTACCTTACTTACGTTACAGGCAAGTAATTTCCCTGATGTACTATCATCATTCCACTCCCCATTGAGCTTATATAAAGAAGAGGAAATGGAGTCTCAGAGAGGTATCTGACTTGTTAAAAGTGCTGGTAATCGGGAATGTGGAAATTTAACCCTGTTCTATCTGATCCAAAAATTGTGGCCTTCACTGTTTTCAAACCTTTCCTGCCAGAATTTCCCAGGGATGGGAAAACTGACTTGAACATTTCCTCAAACAGTGGTGCTTTCTGTGTTAATACCTCTAACTGTTCAATGGTACTTACAAAGTACATCTCAGAATCTGGGCACTCATTCATAAACAATCTAAAACTGTAGGGGAAAACTCTAAAATAATCTTGCACACTTGGTGGCTAGTTGTTTAGTTTTTTTTTTTAAACAAAAATGGGCAAAACCAGACAGATGTAGCTCAGTGGTACAGCACATACTTCACATATAGGAGGAAGCTCAAAAACAGGCAAAACACTCCAATCACAAAACTAACAGAAGATGGAAGGAGGGCCTGCACACATACCGTGCTCTAGTCTTTCATAGTCCGAATCCAGGAGAAATGTTTTAAAGCGATTTGATACACAGTGGAAAGCCAAGAATTTTAAGTAATAGAGATTAAACTCAAATTCTGTTGGATACTGGTTGTGAACCTGAAATACACAAAGCAAAAAGAGAAGTCTGCATCAAGAATCAGTATGAGACCTGTTAACATCTTGTATAAACATGATAACATTGAAAAATTCCTTTGGATGTAAACATTTTTTAAATTGAGATTCTGTTATTGACAATATTGTTAGTGACAGTTTCCCAAGCAATTTCTTGAAACAAACAAAAACTCCAACTGAACAAAAAGAGGATGCCATGTCATTGTGTGCTGGCCTGAAACCGTTAAGACACTCATTCTAGTGAAACCCGACTATGAGGTGGGAAGGACCATTCTGAGCACCTACAGCGTGCCAAACTGGGAATGGGGGGAGGTGGGGGATGTGAATGATTTCATTTAATCTTCAGAAGAATATACTAATAGGTGCTTTTTTTCAGATTTATTGATACAACTGACAGAGCAAGCACTGTATAAATGTAAGCGTATGACAAAACAGTTTATCACCTCACATCATCTCGTTCTTTTTATGAGCCTATGGGCAAGAGTAATTGGATATCTACTTTCTTAGTAAAATTTCAAGTACATATATAGTAAAGCATTGTTAACAGTAGTTATCACAATTATCTTTATTATATATACTTACTATATATATAATAGAACAACAAAATCCATTCATTTGGGGCCAGAGAGATAGTACAGCAAGTGTGTGCTTGCCTTGCAACATGGCTCACCCGGGTTCTAACACGGCATCCCATATGGACTCCCAAGCACTGCCAGGAGTGATTCCTGAGTGCAGAGCCAAGAGCAACCCCTGAGTAAGTGGGCGTGGCCTCCAAACAAAACAAAATCACTCATCTGAACTGGAGAGACAGTACAAAGATTAAGGCACTTACTGTGGCACACAGTCAACCACAGTTCAATTCCTGGTACCACAAATGGTGCCTGGGCACCACCAGAAATGACCCTTGAGCTCCACTGAGTGTGGGGCCCAAATCACTCTCACTCAATAAAAAAACAAAATCCATTCATCCAATGATAAACACCTAGGTTGAATTCAGATCTTTTGTGAACAACATCGCAATGAACATGGGGATGCAAATTCTCTTTATTCCTTCAAATATATATACCCAGAAGTTAAATTGCTGTAGCACTTTTAAAGGTATTTAATTTTTTGAGGTATTTTATACTATTTTCTATAGAGGTTGTACCAATTTACTATTCCCATCAACAGTTCATAGGGGCCATTTCACCAATCCTATCTTTTATTTTTATTGCCCTGAACATCTATTTATGTAATTATTTGCCATTTGTATCTCTATTCAGATCTTCTGACATCCTCACTTTACAAGGAAGGAAGCTGAGAATAAGCACGATTAAAGTAATTTACCCAAGGCTATTCAACAGTAATTAGGAATAAAAATTTGATTTCTGACTTGTTAGGATTCTTAGGTTTATGCCCTACCCACTGTCTTATATGCCAAATGTAAACTAAATGTAAACTAATTTGTTTCACCATAAATTGTTTCCCAGGAGCATGTGTTATAATAGTTTGTAATATAAGGGGAAAAATGAACTTCCAGAAATGTGAGGATGAAAGGAATGCACCAAAAAGTGTTTTTAGGGGAACAGATATACTTGTGGACAAAAGAAAGTACTTTTTCAGACAATGCAGAAGGAAACCTATGAAAGAAAGAACAAATTGCAGAGAAAGACCTATAGCTAAGAGTAAGATTTGGGAATGAGAGATTGAATGACGTTAAGATCCAGAAATCAGGTACTGCTTTGGAAAAGATGCAGGATACGGAGTATATAAAAAAGGTATATATTCAGATGCTAAGGGAAAGGAGCCTTCTCCTTTTAATTTGTTTTTTTCCCCATCAATAAATTAGGACTCAAGATATGGAAATGAGAATTAGGCAAGGTGAAACATGGAGATATGTTAGCAGAAGTTAGGCTTATGGCCATGATACTTTTTCCCACTTAGCAATCACCTCTATATTGCTCAACTAATCTCCCCTGACCTATTAGGGAAGTTGGAGGTGTGTTTCATGCTTAAATTCATAGGTGCTTAGAAGCTGTTTCAAATGACTACCAGAGAGACTGGCTAAAAGCCAATTTCCAGATTTAGTGTGCAATACAGGGAACAGTTGACTAGTCAAAGTGAGCAGCCAAGTGAAAATGTGGAATGCCCAACAGATCAATGGGGATGTTTACTGGTGGTAGGGATTGAATCCAGAACTTCGTACATGCAAGGAATGCACTGTACCAGTGGAAATTTAAAATCGTGGTCTGGAGATCACTTGATCACCTTATCTTCTGTTAGAAACCTGGCTAGCTGCTTGTGACGATTCAAAACTTTTTTACATTTTCTTAATAGAACTTTTACAGAATTAAAACTTCAGCTTATAGGTTAACAGAAAACAAAAAGAATTTTAGAAGGACATTTTAAAAGAGTTTTGACTCCTTTTTGGAGGCTTGGGGCCATACCTAGAGGTGGTGAGGAGCAACCCCTGCTGGAGTTAGGTGGACCATACGAAGTGCTGCTGATTGATCCAGGGTTGGCTGTGTGCAAGGCAAGCGCCCTACTTCCTGCACTATGTCTCTCTGGCCTGAGAATTTGATTCATGCAATGGAGCTGCTTTCCTTAACTAAATCATGTTCCTTCTTGTTGTTATTATTATTATTATTATTATTATTATTATTATTATTATTATTTGCTTTTTGGGTCACACCTGGCGATGCACAGGGGTTACTCCTGGCTTTGCACTCAGGAATTACCCCTGGCAGTGCTCAGGGGACCATATGGGATGCTGGGAATCAAACCCAGGTCGGCCGCGTGCAAGGCAAACGCCCTACCCGCTGTGCTATCTCTCCAGCCCTCTTGTTATATTAAGTCTCTAAAGGCAGGAGAAGTTTCATATGAGACAAGTGTGACAAGAATAAATAGCTGGGGAAAGTATCATATTTCAAGTTTGTAGCACTGTTAGTATGTGTTAAATATGAATTTTCTCATTAGTGAAAATGAAGGGATTAGTCAGCAGGGGTTTCCCGGGATTGTGCAAAATCGGTACCAGGCCAAACTTTTTCAAGAGTTTGTAGATATAATTAAAATTTAAGCCAATACTATATCTAATTTATCATCAACAGTGGTTTGCAGTTCAAAATAATTGGGCATCGGGCCCAAGGAAAGGCATTTGTCTTGCATGTAGACAACTCTGTATGTATCTCGGGCACTGCGTATGGTTCTTGTGGCACTGCAAGGGGTTCCTCCTGAGCACAGAATCAGGAATAGCTCTGCAGCACCCCTAACTATGGTCCAACCCCACTGTGCCCACCCACTAACAACAACGGGGAATAAAAATAAGTTCATGAAAGTGGGGAGATGGCTCAAAGGGCTAGCGCGCTTTGTTGTCACGGTCAACCATGTCCCTCGCATAGGAGTCTGTTCTGTCCTTCACACACTTGCCCCTACTGATACATCTGTACCCCAGGAGCCACAGGCTGGGTGGCGGGGACTCTGCCAGGACTGGGTCTCTCCTCTCCCGATTTCATTAAGCACTGCTCAGATCTAAAGTTTCCTCTTCTGCTTGTAATTTGTCCATGTAAAACTCTAACTCAGGGGCCGGGTTCAGAATCACAAGCAGTCCAAGGAACCAGTGTGCCTAGGACAGAGGGGGTGACTCAGATTGTGGAGTACAGGACAGAGGAGACACGTCCAGAAGGCTGGACATACAGAGTCTCAGGAAAAGCAATCTGCAACATTGTCCTCCAAAAACAAGTTCTGTAGCCACAGGCCCGCCTCCTCCGTTCTCCAGGCCCTCCTACCCCCTCCCCCCAGCTCTGTGGAAGCCTGTCTCACTGCTTCAGACAGTCCAGAGAATTCAGGCTATTTCCACTCACCAAGTCCATCAAAGTTTTAAAAAAGTAGATCTATTAAACAAAGCCCTTGAATAACAAATTTATCTCAATAACTATAATAACTGTTCTCCAGAGAAACCATTTGCCTTATAATATGGGTATCTTTTCTCGATTACTCTGATACCTTAATGTTATTAGGAATGTAATTTGAATGAGCCACTTCTGAGGTGAAGTAAATAGAAATGATAATGGAAACGACCTTAAGTTGAACTCACAGGCATTCCAAGGAGATCATATGCTAGGACTGGAAGCAGAACTCCTTTACAAGTGGAAAAATGCTTTCGTAGCCCACTGTACTGAGCGACTGGCCTCACCGCAAATTCTGCACTCTACAATTATGTTAGAAAGGTTAGATTCTTCCCCCAGGGCCCTGGGCACTCTCCCTGCTTGAAAGCACACTAGAACTGGTGCTTAGAGAGCATCTAGGTGAGTGCCTCGGAGCACTCTGTGTGTGTGTGTGTGTGTGTGTGTGTGTGTGTGTGTGTGTGTGTGTGTGTGTGTGTACATGCGCGCACATGCACACATATCCCTGCAAGCATCCCTGTGAGGGCAATGACACCAGTTTGGGGTTGAAATACAATCTGCCCCCAGCCTGGGGTTAATCAGGTTTATTAAAAGTGGAAGAAAAGACAGAGGGCCAGTTGGCTTGTACTGCTTAGCAACTGTTTAAGAGAAAAACATGTAGAACTTTCTTCCTTTTTGTGGAGGTGTGTGTGCTGGGCCTCAAACTCAGGGTCTCACACATTTAGGTCAAGTGCTCTATTTCTGAGCTGCACCTCTGCTGCCACGAGAATTTCCCGAAGAGCGGAAAGAAAGCCTATTTACCCAGATAATCTAAGTTGACTAATACCTAGATACTACATTTGGAACTTAAACATTAAGAAACAAGAAATTCATTTTGTTTTGTGTCCGTAATGGTGATGTTCCAGAAACTCCTGGCTCTGCACTCAGAAATCACTCCTGGCAATGTTTGGGGGACCATATGGTATGCCTGAGATTGAATCAGGTTAGCCACGAGCAAAGCAAATGCTCTACCCTCTGTACCATCTCTCTGGCTCAGAACACACATTCTTTTTTTTTTTAAATTTTTATTAGTGAGACACCATGAGGTACAGTTGTAGACTTAAA